ACAGAAAACCTCATGCTCATGCCATGTTCAGAGCTGTCGCGAGCATGGCTCGTTGTTGCGACAAATATGGGAAGATTAGTACTATCCAAAATTTATCCGACAACCCTATACAATTCAAACGCATTGAAGCGTGCATCAAGGTAGAGGTGCAGCACAAACATAAAACTGAATGGAATTCTGGTATATAACGCATATTAGCTAATTTCGTTAATACTTGACAGCGACTTAGAAGTTCCACAGTTTCTGTTTTTAGTTCGATTTAGAAGATGTCTTTTTCGCTCAAGTCAAGTGTCAGATATGATGGCTAATTCGAACAAATTGCGCCTAACATTCAGTTCCCTTGACAGCCTTCCAGTGTTCATGTTTTTTCTAACTAATCAGCTCTATTTATCAAGCAATCCCTGGAAGGTCATGGAAAAAAAACTGTTGAAAGCCATTTTTTTCCTTTTTTCGCTACGACCAGCTTGTTGATTAGTACATGGCTGTTGTAGAAAGTGTAACTAGCTGGTTATTGCTCTTTGTGCAATCTCTATATCTCGCATGCTCGTAGAAGATACTCAAGTGGCGGGAGATACGCCATTTCTTGTCTGAGCCTATTTTGTAACTTGGAAAGTGGTCATTGCCGTGTATCAATCATTAAGCATCTCAAACTCACCATTCTTTGCATCTCGCTAGTAGCATAACTGCTTAGCTCCCATCTATTCGAGTGGTACCAACAATTGACAAGTCTAAGTAGCCAGAGTCATTAAAGCAAACCGATTTAAGATGTGCCCTACACAACAAAATTTTGAATAGTCTGAAAATTTTTTCACCAGCGTGATACAAAAGGTACTACATCCAAGTCACTGTTTTTTTTTCTCAAACATAACCCTTGTCACTTTTTATATCGCTTCGTCAACAATAAACCTTTTCCCTTACATTATCCTTCATGCTACATCCACTACTATTCTTGAAACTACAACGCACCACTTTGTGCTGATTTGACTTGCAGGTCAAATGCGCACTCAAGAAAAGGGCGCGAGCCCGAGAAGAACTGGGTCACGGGAGCGTAATCATTTCACCACGAGTACTCACCCAGGATTGTCGTCTTCTTATTTACTCTCATTTGATAAGTTTTCATTCTATGTTTGCTTAGATCCACCTTTGACTACTCATGTTTAATTGCTCTCATCTATTGCTGGTATTCGATCTCTTCTTTAACGGTTCTTTATTTGTTACAGTTCGATATGCTTTAAAATGTTGATCTTATGTTTACGGTGTTTTGTGTTGTATAAAGCTTTAATTAGCCAAGTTTGAGGTGTTACTTGGAGATCCGCGGTTGGTACCGTGTCTATCTGGCGTTGCTGTGTGGTTGCCGTTACTATCTGTCCATTTCCAGATCCTTATTCTGCGCTCAACCGAAGACAAGAGCCCAACAGCGAGAAGAAGTGGGAATAGAAGAAAGAATACTAGGAATTATGCCCCCTTTTCACATAAGAACTTCCTTCGCTTAAATTCCTTCTTTTGCTCTTGCCTTTCGTGTGTGAGGATGAGGCACAAAAGATTTGGTGCATCGGCCATTCTCGTTCTTGAGCCGTGCTTAATCGATATTTGGTTAGATTTGGTGTCAGGGTTGGACTTTGAACTCTCTCAACAGGACGTAGGTTTCTTTTAAACCCTCAATACTCATAATCGATTGATCCGCGTGGCACCATGGGCCTGCCTCTGAGGCCGTTTAAGACCAGAGTTACCAAAACTGGCAACTGTCTGGAAGAACTGATAGCAGATTCATAACATCTGTCAACCTTTACGATACGAATGGAAATGAAGAAGATATTGATTTATTGAACACAAAAAGAATGTTATGCAGCAACGACATGCCAATATCACCTCAGCGAAGTTGTCATTAGATGCGGCGGTCAACAGCTTTGAGGAAGCTTTCGACAAGCTAGACAACCGCTCCCAGCAAGAAGAGCAAGCGTCACAGGAGACGTACCTCTACCATGCATGGGATTTGATCACCGCAGCAGAAGCATTGCTCGGCAAACTAGCCGAGAAGGAGATAGAGATCTCCACCACGTTGGAGAATTTGAAACCAGTTGAATTCAGAAGACAAAGAGGAATAGAAAGAGCAACAGCACCTCAGTCATCTAGTGACTCTCCTCGACTGACATCACCTTTCCTTTACGCCTCCAGTCAGCTTTAGGCATTGTTGCCACGGTTACAAATACCAATTTGGAGAAAAACGTTAGAATTCCTTTTGTTGGGCTATATTTAAGTCAAATGTAGAGGATCAACCAAACCCTGCTATGCTCAAATTCAACTTGTTGCAGTCACTAGTAGGTGAAGCCCGACAAACAGCCG